TGCATGTTTGTGTGTGTGTTCAAGTGTGGGTGGCTGAGTAGGAGGAAATTGGAGAGGGGATGGGAGAACAGGGAGAGACTGGTGACCTGATGGGTACCTGACACCAGGTGATTATGGTGGTGATGACAGAGGTGAGGAGAAATCTTCAAGCTCATTCACTATAGGGTCACGGAATTAATAAGTACACAGGCTTTGGTCCCGGGTTCACTGGCTCGGTCACTTACTGCCTGTGTGACTTTGGCCTCTACGTGTTGTTTTCTTACAAGTTTATTATAAGTTGATGTTTAAGTTTTAAATTATTTTTAGACACAGGGTCTTGCTATGTCACCCAGGCTGGGGCGCAGTGGCTGTTTGCAGGCGTGATCATGGCTGGCTGCAGCCTCGAATTCCTGGGTTGATGCATCCATCATTTAATGAGTTGAAATCATTTGTTTTATTATGTAAGCGTTCCTCCTGCCTCAGCCTCCTGAATAGCTGGGACTATAGGCATGTGCCACTGCACCTGGTGGGTTTATTATATTAGAAAGGTCATCTATGTTTCATTGAATATAAATGTAATAGGCATACGTATATATAAATGTCTAGCATGTAACTATTAACTGCTGTAGTTGCATTACTAATAAACTATATTGCATCAAGTTCCCTAAGGCGCCGCAAATGAGGAAGAAAAGGTTTCACCACACACGGTGTCTCTGCTGTTGGAGCATCGGATTTGCCTCAGGGACTCCCTCCCGGGCGACAGGCCTCTGGCCTCACCCCTGGCTCTGTGCCACCCTCCGCTTCTGGTGGAGCCCAGGCCCTGCTGGCTTCTAGCCAGAGCAGTTTCCTACCCCCGAGGACGCGTGACGCCCCCAGGACAGAATCACAGTCCCACCTTTTTCATGGTAGGACTCCGTGCTGGTTCCCGACCTTTCTGGAGCCTGTTCCGGATGCCACGGCCTTGACAACCTCCTGTCCCCCGGTGGGACCAGGGCTGGGTCTTCGTCACCTTTCCTCATTGCAGCGTCAGTCTCTGACGAGCAATTCTCTGTACAGACCCTGGAGCTTCTTGGGAAATCATCCAAGTTCAGCCTGGATCTCCAGAGGACCCAGCCCTCCCAGCCCCTTCCTCTTCTCCACTTCCTAGGGCCCTGGAAGGACCAGTCAATCCCCAGGTGCGAGGCCTTCCCGGTGGAGCCCTGCCCCTGCCTGGAGTCTGGGCTTCAGAAAGCCCTTTCCAGATCGCTGCCTGGGAGATGCTACGCCCCCCCCCCACCC